ATAGCATGCTGGTTTTCTAGTTCTTCTGAATAATGAGCAGGTTAATTCATGAAGATAGTGTTCTGGTTTGTTAGTTCTTCTAAATAATGAGCAGGTTAATTCATGAAGATAGTGTTCTGGTTTTCTAGTTCTTCTGAATAATGAGCAGGTTAATTCATGAAGGTAGTGTTCTGGTTTTCTGGTTCTTCTGAATAATGAACAGGTTAATTCATTAAGATAGTGTTCTGGTTTGTTAGTTCTTCTAAATAATGAGCAGGTTAATTCAAGAAGATAGTGTTCTGGTTTACTAGTTCTTCTGAATAATGAACAGGTTAATTAATGAAGATAGCATGCTGGTTTTCTAGTTCTTCTGAATAATGAACAGGTTAATTCATTAAGATAGTGTCATGGTTTGTTAGTTCTTAAATTGAAAGGTAGTTTTTTTTTATAAATTTCATTCATGTCATTACAAATCAGAATTAGGATAAATAATACTTAGACCTATATTACATGTTTATTTTAATACTATGTATTGTATTATTGAATTAACCTGCTCATTTAATAAACTAGCAAACCAGCATGCTATCTTCATTAATTAATCTGTTCGTTATTCAGAAGAACTAGTAAACCAGAACACTATCTTCTTGAATTAACCTGCTCATTATTCAGAAGAACTAACAAACCAGAACACTATCTTCATGAATTAACCTGCTCATTATTCAGAAGAACTAAAAAACCAGAACACTATCTTCATGAATTAACCTGCTCATTATTCATTCAGCACCAGCTAAACCACACTTTCCTCCTTCCAATTCATGGAGTTTGGTCTAACCACTGATCATATAGATCAAACTGTCAAGTAGCAACCACTGGTACTTTTTCCCTTTGTTTTTGTGTATCTTTTTTTTTGTACATTTTATTAGAATTTTTAATTAATGTATTTTAAACAGTACATCCCCAATATTAATAAGGTTATTCAATACTATTACTACCACTACTACTATAATTAGAAGTTGGCACTGATCTTGACACAGACTCTCTTCCCTCTAGTACTCTTCTTAAGGCTCTTCTACTAATTATGCCCAATTCAATTTGATTTAATAGTATCTGTCCTTTTCACCTTTTAAGTTACAATAGAAATTTACCAAACCAAAATTCCTGCTTTTCTTAATTCACATGCTATGTTATACATTAAATATTATATGAAATGTACAATGTATACAAGAAAGTAACAAATATACAATATGTCAGCCACATTATAGCTGTGCTGTATCCAGTACCAGTGAAGCCTCTTGGCCAATTCTAGGGCTTTTCTGAACAGCTGGGATACAACAGACACAGTAGTGGTGGAAATGTTATTTATACAAGAAAACATCTCACCAACAATTGTTATATTGTGAACTCAAGTCTCTAGTGTGTAAAGAAGGTGTGGTTTAGCTGGTGCTAAACGTCGCTAGTGTGTAAATCAATCAATCAATAAACCAAACAGCAGTGGTCATTATACTGATTGGTCTACTTATTTTTGAGTGTAAAATTCAACCATAATTAAGTGGTTTATGTATGATTTTTTTATACAGAATTTTGTTGATCTGTGTATTGTGTACACCTTTAGAAATCTTTATTAACAAATTTTACATTGAATTCAGTACCTCTAGTAATGGAAATGCTGCAATTGGGCATTTTCTCTCAACCACTAGTTCATCACAACTACCTTGTCAGTCTGTAGGATTTTATGAAAACAAAAGCTGACAGAATATGCATATGTAACTTGTAATGGTTTTTCACTGTACTTGCATTTTAATAGCTCACAACAGTTTAGGGATGGAGTAAGGCAGTCTCTGGTACTGAATGGGTTGAGAAATGCTACCTCTAATAATTAATTATCTACTATTGTATAATGAACTGTCACAGTTAACAGAAGTTTAACCCATGTAGTAATATAGAAAGTTATAAAACAATCAGCTTTAGATAACATATTTAACTGTTGCTTGAATACCTTGTTTTAAAACTTTAATTTTTGCAGTTGAGTCGACTGTTTCTAGCTTTAACTGCTCCATCTCAGCCTGTAGAAGAGAGATGCTTTTTTGTGGAATGTGTGGTCAGAGAGAGCCGCTGTCTGGACATTACACACACTATTCTACATAGCTCACCACAAGTAAGTTATTAGAAGCTTGTGTACTTTGAATTCAAATATTCTGTGTATTTATCTAAGTTTTTCACTAATTATTACATGTGAGCTACAACTGAGGACAAGTTTCTTGGCCAGTAAAGTAACAGAAGTGACTGATTTAATTAACATACAAGTTACCTATTTTGTGTTGGTTGAAATTTATGCTATTAGTAGGTTTTATAGCATTCTCTTTTATTTTCTTTATTTATTTAATGTATTATTCTTTTTAATAAATTATCAGGTTTTTGAAATACGTTTCAACAAATATCTCAAATAATTAAAAAAATGTTGTCATGTTTAATGTGTTTAGTAAAAGTAATGTCATAAGATATACTTTCAGTGTTTTAATTTATGTTTGCTTTAGGGAGTGTCATTATGATGTTAAAAATTGAGAAGGTTTGCATAATATATAGAAACAAGCGTATAATATACAGGAGTAATGAGTTAATTAGTGAAACAATTCAGTACCATTCAGTGAGTTATTCAGTTCTGTGATTTAGTTATTAAGAAGAGTGAGTTAGTTAGCATGTTTGTTGTTGATCAATTAGTGAGAGGAAATTGAATAAGTAAATTTATTTCTGAGTTATGTACACCACTATCTTCAGATATTATACTGAGATGTTGTATTTGAAGTTATGCCTATCGAAGTGTTAGTGAATGTAGCCTGTAGCAAATGATATTGAAGAAATTAGATAATTCTTCATCATAATGTGGACTAGATTTGGCATAATTTTTACAAAATAGTTCAAAAGAAAGTGCCCAGTGATAGAACACTTTACAATAGTGTTATCAGAAGTTGGATTAGTTTGGCAAAAATAAAATAGAACTTTAACTAAATTTCAAGATGACAACCTGATCACAAAATGAGATTGAAACTTTTCTAGAGATGATGAAACAGTTGAAAGAGAACTGTTATAATTGTTGAAAACCTGGATATTAAAGATGAGACTGAGGAATCAGCAGCTATTCATACACCAAGGGGGCAATACCCTAAGGATTTCTTAAAGCCTAACCAGATCATAGGAACAACAAAAGGCTAATCGGACAGGAATTAGCTGGACCTATGGGGCAAAGTTCAGTTGAGAATATCCCATCTGCTCCAAACAATATAAGAAGTTCATTATTTAAAGGAACCAGTTCATGGGCTTATCCATGGGTTTATTTGTAGTCTGTTTATTAACACTGGTTCCTCTGATAAAATAGTTCAACCACATTTGGTAATGAAAATTTAGAAAATGCTTCCAGAATTGATAAAAGAAAATGAATTGATGTGGACATACAATTCCAGCAAGAGGAATGTTGGAAGTTACCCTTATTTTAGGATACTTCTCTTTGCCTAATGATGTGTGGGTAATTGACCTTGAGGAAGAGTTAACAATGGGAACTGAACTAATGCAGGGATGTGAATGCGAGGATAGGTTAGTTTCAAGTAGTTTCACAGTCTACTACCAGGAAATCAATATGCACAACATGGCAGTTACTACAACAGTGGTTAAAATTCCAGTGACATCAAGGAGGGCAACCTAGAATTAAAATACTCAAATCAGGACTTGTGAGGAATAAATTTACATGTAATAACTGTACTTTAGTATAACCAAACACTCCAGCATGTCCTAATTGGAAAAACTCGTGGACCTTCTAAATACAGATGTCACTATAAGGGCCATGAACACAACAAATCACAAAATTTGAATCAAGTCTAGGTGGGACATCACAAGATGAGAAGATGTATAGGCAGTACTACCACATCAGAGAACATCAAAGTAGTCACCATTGAAGCAAGATCTAGGAATTCTGATAAGAAGTCATTACGTAAGGACAGCTTACCACCCCACTAGCAAGAGCTGTATAACCAAAGCTGTAAGGTCTTACATCAAGGAATTTTGCATGATGTACATTGTCAGTACTAGTACTAATAGGCACCGAAGAATGTCACACGATGTACATTGTCAAGTGTTAATACTACCAATATGCACCGAGGAATGTCACACGATGTACATTGTCAAGTGTTGTTAGTACTACCAATATGCACCGAGGAATGTCACGCGATGTACATTGTCAAGTGTTGTTAGTACTACCAATATGCACCGAGGAATGTCATGCGATGTACATTGTCAAGTGTTGTTACTACTACCAATATGCACTGAGGAATGTCACATGATGTATATTGTCAAGTGTTGTTACTACTACCAATATGCACCAAGGAATGTCACATAATGTACATTGTCAAGTGTTGTTAGTACTACCAATATGCACTGAGGAATGTCACACGATGTACATTGTCAAGTGTTGTAACTACTACCAATATGCACCAAGGAATGTTACGCGATGTACATTGTCAAGTGTTGTTACTACTACCAATATGCACCGAGGAATGTCACATAATGTATATTGTCAGTTGTTGTTACTACTACCAATATGCACCGAGGAATGTCACATAATGTACATTGTCAGTTGTTGTTAGTACTACCAATATGTGCTGAGGAATGTCACGTGATGTACATTAAAGTGTTGTTAGTACTACCAATATGTGCTGAGGAATATCACACGATGTACATTGTCAAGTGTTGTTAGTACTACCAATATGTACTGAGGAATGTTACATAATGTACATTGTCAAGTGTTGTTACTGCTACCAATATGCACCGAGGAATGTCACATAATGTACGTTGTCAGTAGTTATTAATAGGTAAATCATTATATTTTCATTTTTTTTAGATTAACTCGTGATCATTATCTATTCAGATAACACAAAAATAACTGTTTGTATAGACCTTAGTTATCTGTATGTTTATTATATTTTCAATTTAATCCAAGAATACTGATAACTTAATTTATTCTTTTAAGAATGATCCACGAATTGTTTTATTCATCTGTGATCTCCTCAACAACCAGACAGAAAACATGAGTGAAAAACAGTTAGAGGACGTTTCAACATTTCTTCATTTTCTTCACAGAATGGGAGCATGTGTTCTTCCATCCACCAATAAGGAAGATAACAAAGCTGCTTTAGAAAATGTTAGTTGTTGTGTTAGTGATAAAGCTGTAGCATATTGCAATATATGAAATAAGAACACTTGACTGAAGTAGTTGAAAGTGTTATTCTTGTTGTATTTATTTACCAGTGTGTTTAAAACAGCATTATATGATCCCATTAGCACAATATACTCGTTACTGTACAGTAAAATTTGCACACTGATGTTTTGTATTCAGGAAACATTTCTGTTAAGAATTTTATTTTTTTAGCTAATGTATTATACAGAATAGTTTTGTTTATTTTAAAGATAGTTAAACTTTAGTACCATCACTTAATTCATTTAGGAACCTGGCTAGAAAGTCGGTTTATATTGTGTGTTTTGGAAGATGTTTGGTTTTTAAAAATATTTGTGATACCATTAAATAAGAAATATTTTATTAGGAAACTGGATAGAAAGTAGGTTGAATCAAATTTTTGGAGTGGTGTGTGTGTGTGTGTGTGTGAACTGGTTAGAAAGTATGTTATTCACTTAAATTTATGGAGTGGTGTGTGTGTGAACTGGTTAGAAAGTAGGTTATTCACTCAAATTTATGGAGTAGTGTGTGTGTGAACTGGTTAGAAAGTAGGTTATTCACTCAAATTTATGGAGTGGTGTGTGTGTGAACTAGATAGAAAGTAGGTTATTCGCTCAGATTTTGGGAGTGGTGTGTGTGTGTGAACTAGTTAGAAAGTATGTTATTCAGTCAGATTTTGGGAATGGTGTGTGTGTGAACTGGCTAGAAAGCAGATTATTCAGTCAGATTTTTGGAGTGGTGTGTGTGTGTGAACTGGTTAGAAAGTATGTTATTCACTCAGATTTTGGGAGTGGTGTGTGTGAACTGGTTAGAAAGTATGTTATTCACTCAGATTTTGGGAGTGGTGTGTGTGAACTAGTTAGAAAGTATGTTATTCAGTCAGATTTTTGGAGTGGTGTGTGTGTGAACTGGTTAGAAAGTAGATTATTCAGTCAGATTTTTGGAATGGTGTGTGTGAACTGGTTAGAAAGTAAAAAATTCTTATTGAATAACCTACTTTCTAACCAGTTCTTCACAAACACGCCACTCCCAAAATCTGACTGGATAACCTACTTTCTAACCAGTTCACACACACCACTCCAAAAATCTGACTGAATAACCTACTTTCTAACTAGTTCACACACGCACACACACACACCACTCCCAAAATCTGACTCAATAACGTACTTTCGAACCAGTTCACACACACCACTCCAAAAATCTGACTGAATAACCGTGTGTGAAGATATAATTTACATTATTACATACATATGATTTTCTCCTGTCAGGAAAGTCTGGCTTGGAAGCAGATATTGGATAGTGACCACGAACAGTGGATCCAAACCAATCGTGCTTCAGAGAGCAGGTAAGGGAAGTAGCTTCAGAATATTAAAATGATAAAGATTATGTTGTTTACTATTTTATGTTTTGGTAGAAATCTGTATTTGTACTGTTGTTAATAACATAATAATGAGAATAATCATGAAATGATATTTTCACTATTACTACTTAACTAATATCATTTGTTAATCAATTATTTTTGAATCTTCACATACATAGGGTTCTCCAAAGACATGAAAATCTGGCAAAGTTGGTCTCCCAAAATGCTATGTTTGTGACACGAATGGTAGTTGAAGCCCAGAACATGGAGAGAAAACTGTTTATTGAAAATATAAAAACCACATATAGTCAAGGTTTGGCAGCTAAAAGAGCATGGCTTTCGATGATCACACAACTTACCCATGAAAGGTAATTAGTCTTCTGTGATATAAACATATTATATATTTTTATGAAAATGAGAAATCGGGCAAATATAGTTCAAGTATAAAATCTAGTGCATTAGTGTTATCAAGATCCAATAATAAAACTGGTGAAATTACACAATATGAACTTCAAGCTTGATTTTGTTTAATACCAATGGTGTTAAATTTAGTCATTGAAGTCTGGTTTGTTTTATAAATGTGTGCAATCAAACTCATCAAAGTTAATACACTTTGAAGTTTTTCAAGTGGAATCACCCTCTTTTTGATTTTGTAAAACGTACTAATGAAAATGGAAAAAATGTATTTGGATTTGATATTGACATATCACCTGTTGACATTTGGTGGTTATGGATATTTTTATCTCTTTGCTCAGAGCTTCTTGGTTTTTTGAAAAGTCTTATCCACAAAGTTGGGAATTAGATCCAACAGAAGGACCCCAGCGGGTAAGGCGTCGGACTCGCCATTGTCATCTTCATATGAATTCTCGTTTTTTAATGCCAGAATATAAATATAAACTTGGTAAGTAATAGAAATAATGCACCGTATTAATGTGAAACCATGTCAATACTGGAATATTTGACACTAAATCCATGTTATTTTATTCTCCAGAAACTGAGTATATCTAGTCTCTACAGAAAGACAATCTAAAGAAGGGGAGGATGAATCTTCTAATTTTTAGTGTTTATTTGGGGTAAAATGAGACATATGTTAACTGTTTTGTGATTCATTAAAGTTGAGTTGGCTTTGTTCATAAGTTAATGATCTGTGAACTTTTGAGACTATAGATTTAACTGTCTTTGAATTTAGAACTATGTATTGTAACTACTACTTAACCCTATTCTTGACCTGTACATCACAGGACATAGTGCTAAAGCTCCTGAGTATCATACATGATACACAACCACTTATTTGATATACAGCTGATGCTCATGAATGTGACAACAGGAACTGGTTCTTTTGGTTCAACGTATGAGATTAGAATAGAGCTTCTTATGAGCATCACATGAATGATAACAGGTTAAGTTACTGTCACTCAAGTCAAAATGTAAACCTTGGATAAATACAACAAATTTGTTTATTAATTCCTTATATTTTTAATACTCATTACACTAATTTTGCAACAAATGAATAATGTTTATAAAACAAATAACTTTACCATTAAATGACCTAAGTCAGGGAAAGGGTTAAGGTACAGTGTAAACTGCCAAGTGACATGTATGACTTTCAGATATAGTATTTACTTTATATTTATATATATTTAGTATAGAGATATTCTAAAGAGTTTATAAAGTGTAGGTTGCTAGTAATTAGTCGTTATTTAAAGATGTTGCTTCCAATCAGCTATGATGAGATTTTTTCTAGGCCCAACAAACCACTTGTCATCTCTTATTTGTTTTTTTTCTAGGCCCAACAAACCACTTGTCATCTCTTATTTGTTTTTTAGGCCCAACTAAACCACTTGTCATCTCTTATTTGTTTTTTAGGCCCAATAAACCACTTGTCATCTCTTGCTTATTTGTTGTTTTTTTTAGGCCCAACAAACCACTTGTCATCTCTTATTTGTTTTTTTAGGCCCAACAAACCACTTGTCATCTCTTATTTGTTTTTTTAGGCCCAACAAACCACTTGTCATCTCTTATTTGTTTTTTTAGGCCCAACCAAACCACTTGTCATCTCTTGTTTATTTGTTTTTTTTTAGGCCCACCAAACCACTTGCCACCTCTTGTTTATTTGTTTTTTTAGGCCCAACAATCCACTTGTCATCTCTTGCTTATTTGTTTTTTTTAGGCCCAACAAACCACTTGCCACCTCTTGCTTATTTGTTTGAGGAAGATGATATTGCAGCAGATTCTGCATCTCTGATTGAGAAGCTACACATGAATGAAAGAATCACGTAAGCTGTTCGAGCTTCAGTTTAATGGTTTCGTAATTAAAAAAAAAAATCTATTTTAGATGTGTAAGTTTGTTTTCTTCAGGAACTGATTTTTGAAATGTTTTCAGAAGTAGGACCAACATTAATTGGATTCAGTACTAGTTATTTCATTGAAAGATAATGTAATTTTTATTTGAATATTATTTTGTCAGAATATGCTTGCTTTAGTGTCATCAAGTATTTCTCAGATAATGTATATAGGATACAAATGTATCTGATTGTCAGGTAGTAGCCAAATTATTATTATAATATTCAGATTATAGTACATTTTAGTGGACATTTGATATAACTATTTTTTTATTTTTAAAGTAATTATTAACATTTACTATTAGCTGCAGACAGTGACAGGTAGTATTTTTACCTGTATGACATTATGAGCAAGTGTACCTACATTGGTCTCACATGAATATCTCACTTGGTATAATAGTGTTTTAGATCGACTAGAGGTGGATTTTCCCCCATTATTTAAGATGTTTTTGTAGTTAGAGCATGACTTGTACTTTCATCACTGTAGCTTTCGTTGTTTGTTTTAAAGTTTTTCTATAATTTTTTCATACTTATGCATGGTTGTTTGTGTGAATGTCTACTTGTAAAATAAGTTTCCTTACAAATTTTTTAAAAATATTTTCCATTTATAAATTGTGTTCAAAAGTGGACACATTTGTAAATGTTAACGAAGGTAATGTTTATGTATAAGATAAATACCAGTTACTTTACAATATTGCTACACTGCATTTGGCACAAAATCAAACAGATTTATTGAGTACTTGAAGAGTGAATGATATAAAACTTTCTGAATTTGTCATAACATTACGTGGCACTAACGCATTAGCAAAGGTTTGGGTTTATCTGCTTGTGTGTATAGAATGATGTCACACTGTTTACTTATTTGTTAGTGATTACTATATTCCTTTCTTTAAACACCTCGGGTACCAAAATATTTCTACAAAATGGTGCGGGATGCTAATAAAAAAAAAAACAGTTATGACCTTCAAATTTTTTTCTATAGTAGCTAAACATGGCTTTTTCTCCCTCAGTATTATACATTACTCACTTATACATTAGATATTCCAAGCTAAGATGAAAATTGTAGCATCTACGTATCTATGCCGTAAATAGAAACCCGTAGATGGATTAGAAATTTAATGTCAGTTAAAGTATTTTGCTTAGCTGATAGAAAAGATGAAAACCTTAAGTTAGGTTAGTCAGATGTTTTGTCTTCGAAATCATGACAATGAGTAATGTTAAAAAGAAGGCTAACTTATTTTTATTTTGAAAATCATGCAGGGGGCACTTATAGGAGCATGAGTGCTTCAAGGGAGGAATACAGTACTCAACTTGTAGTTTATTTTAATTTGAATGTCACTGTTAGTAGTGATTTTAAGAATATTACTGTTTTTGTGTGCATTATTCAGATCTTGATTTTGTGCTTTAGTTACACATGCACTTGTACCGTCATTTCACCATCACAAGAAACTCCTGGCGAAGTTCTTATAGGTGAGTGGTTTCATCAGGGAAAAATTCTTTAAATAATGTGTGAACTATAGAATAATTCTTTTGTCTGTTAGAATATGTCTGTATTTGTATACTGTAAGGCTGGTTTGTTTGTGTCAATTTGACAAAATAAAATGTTTTCATAAGAACAGTGAATGAGTTTTAATGTTAGAGAACACCCAAATCTTGCACGTTTTATTCATAATTGTTGTTCTTTTAGAACTATGATGTTGAAGTAGCTAGACTTTATAACATGTTCTTTTACATTTGTAAAGAAATTTAATGCTTGATCCAGTACAATGTATATTACAGAGTATTTTATAACTTACCAAAGAGTTTAGTTTGACAGAACAGTTTGTAGTTCATAATTGAATAGAGTTCTTTAAACATTTGTTTAACAACGAGTAAAAGCTTGACAGAACAGTTTGTAGTTCATAATTGAATAGAGTTCTTTAAACATTTGTTTAACAACGAGTAAAAGCTTGACAGAACAGTTTGTAGTTCATATCTACTCTACAATCTTAAACTAAGAATTAACAGTTTGTAGTTCGTATCTACTGTACAATCTTAAGCTAAGAATTAACAGTTTGTAGTTCGTATCTCTTGTACAGTCTTAAGCTAAGAATTGACAGTTTGCAGTTCGTACCTACTGTACAATCTAAAGCTAAGAATTGACAGTTTGTTGTTCATATTTACTGTACAGTCTTAAGCTAAGAATTGACAGTTTGTAGTTCGTATCTACTGTACAATCTAAAGCTAAGAATTGACAGTTTGTAGTTTGTATCTACTGTACAATCTAAAGCTAAGAATTGACAGTTTGTAGTTTGTATCTACTGTACAATCTAAAGCTAAGAATTGACAGTTTGTAGTTTGTATCTACTGTACAGTCTTAAGCTAAGAATTGACAGTTTGTAGTTTGTATCTCTTGTACAGTCTTAAGCTAAGAATTGACAGTTTGTAGTTCGTATCTACTGTACAGTCTTAAGCTAAGAATTGACAGTTTGTAGTTCGTATCTACTGTACAGTCTTAAGCTAAGAATTGACAGTTTGTTAGTTCATATCTACTGTACAGTCTTAAGCTAAGAATTGACAGTTTGTAGTTCATATCTACTGTACAGTCTTAAGCTAAGAATTGACAGTTTGTAGTTCATATCTACTGTACAGTCTAAAGCTAAGAATTGACAGTTTGTAGTTCATATCTACTGTACAGTCTAAGCTAAGTAATTGACAGTTTGTAGTT